CTGATTGGTTATGTCTCTGAACCAATTGTTTTTGGTTCTGCCCTCAGAACATTTTTCTGTAAGTAAAATCCCCATGAGCTCTTCTGACCCAGTAACCAGTAAATGAAAACCACCGTCACTGTAAAAAAAAAAGCAACTGATCAGTAATGAAGATGAGAAGGTGAGAAGCATTTGCTGTTGAAACTGCATTCAATTATTGGCAATAAACTCCGATACCTCATACTGAGTATAACCCTATGCTGCCTGGGATAAGCCCCAGCCCCCCCTCCCTCGCCATGCCTCTCACCAAGATGAGCGGTTAGAAGATAGATGAATGACAAGCATATAAGCTACTCCAGGTTTAGCAGTCCATTCATCCACTTCTAAACTGCTTCTCCTGGGTCTGGATGCCATCCCTGGTGGCACGGGGTACTTCTTGGGCAGGATGCTGGGCACTTATACACGACATTATATACTACCGGCAATTTAGCGACACCAATCAGCCTAACTGTGTGTCCTTGGCAGAGCTGGGTAGTTCAAGTCCAGAAAGTAAAAGTCCAGGTGGTTAGTTCCAGGTGGTTAGTTCTGATCCAGACCAAGATTTTGATTCAACCAGCCAGTTGAGTATAAAGAGTCACATTCACTGAGTACTCAACGGGTTGGTTGAAACAAAATCTTGGTCTGGACCGGAACTAACCACCTCTAGTCTGGACCATATGAGGAAAGTCATACAACAGAGGGAAGACATGCAAACGGCATTCAATTTTACAGTATATAAAGAATAAAATATATAATAAAAATTAGAAAATTGAACCAAAAGTTGTTTAAAGAAAAAAGACTACGTTTAAAAAAATAAACAGAATCAGCTGCACGTACTGAAGGAGGTGGATCATTCCATAACCTCGGGGCAGCAGACTGGAAGGTACAGTCGCCAAGTCTTTAACTTGGTGCGTGGAACAACTAACAGCCATTTCTCCTCAGATCTGAGCACTAGAGTGGTTTCCTAATTGTTTAGGAGATCCGTTAATACTTTGGGGCTTGACTATTCAGGGCCATATACGTAATCAGCAGGATCTTAAACATTATCCTAAAATCAACAGGAAACCAGTGCAAAGATGACAAGATAAGTGTTATGTGCACCTGTCTACAAGAGCATGTTAGAAGTCTAGCTGACGCATTTCGAGCTGCTTGGAGATGGGAGACAGAAGTTTTATTCAGTCTTGAAAACAAAGCATTACGGTCGTCCAAACGAGACAAGGTGAAGGCATGCATAAGCATTTCAAGCTCAGCTCTGTATACGTTTGTATTCATATCTTTGTTTGAGACAATGACGACCTTAACCCCTACCCAGCCCTAACTTTAACCAAAAGTAACAAAACAAAATACAAGACTTTTGACATTTTTTAGTTTTTTGATTGCAGTCACAGAATTTTATTAAATTGAATTTCCCTTTGTGGGGACCAAAAAAAATGGTCCCCACAATGTAATATATATAACCCCCCCCACACACACACACACACACCATCTGAGCTACCATCTGACTGGAAGAGCATCTGGTGCAACAGGGCAAAGGGAAAGTCTAGGCAAATTTGATGAAGTTATATACTTCTGCGTAAAATTAATAAGCCTTTTGAATTTCTGCCCCTGAATCATAACTATTAGCTGTAAGTCTTGTAAAAGCCCCTTTGGGTGTCTGGCCATCAACTCTGTTACAATTATAATCCCAATATCTATGTTTCCATACCGCCAGGTATTCATGGGAATTAAGATCAAAACTCAGTGATTAACAGTACGCTGCCACATGTATTGCAGGTGTACTGGAAAAATTGATTTTTAGCACAAACATTTTATCATCCTGGTGCTTCTAATCAGAATTGGAAGAAAATGTCCCTTGGCGACATCAGAGGATGAAAATAAATATTGTTGATGAACCAAATTAACATAAACCATGTTTATTTGTGTGTTCATGTAATATTGCGCATTGTGCATGTGCATTTTAAGCCTAATGCAATCATGTGGATTTTTTAATTATCTTTTTATTTTCATTTCATTTTGGGAATGGTTATACAAACAATAGCATGTACAAGAAAAACACTAAATTTCTTTATATATATATATATATATAGACACATACTCTGGCATTAACCAAAAGGGTTTTTATGAATTATTGCTGTTGCCTTGATGATATGTCTGATGTGACTGACCAACGTCCAGACCAGTGACAGAATGTTCTGTCCAGTGAGGGAGGTAAATGTTAGTGGGCCGGCTTCTCGATTTTTAGTACCTCGGCCTCCCCCACGATGTCGGGCTGATGGATCGTTCCCAGAGGCCTGGTGACCCTGGTCGACAGCTTCAGCCCTGAAGAACACTTTGAAGCTTCTTATGGGGATGCCAGCATGTTCGGAGGAGGTGGGGGGGGGGGCAGCCAGTTCATCTGCTGTCCCCAGGGGTACCTGATGTAAACATCTCATCAGTGGGCTGCCAGCCAACGTCTACACGAGGCTTCATGCCATAAGCTCCCTGGCTTTCGCTGTTGTACGTATCAGAGCCGTGAGACACCAAGTGCGTCCATTATTATAGCATCTGTATCACCTTCCGAGAAAAGCGCTTTTTGGGTAGCAAGTGCTATTCAGTTACCAGCCCAAAATAGGTATCATTTTCAAGAATTCACTTATATAACAATGCAATAGAACAGAAGAGGTTTAAAAAAATCAACATTGTTATTTTGATTAATAGGAATATATTAATACACTCTTCTAAACAATTATACCAGTGGGAAAAAACCTGAAAAGTACAGTGGTAAGCTCCATTTCACAGTACTGTTTAATGCTGTATAAACAGTTGTTTTTTATTTTTAAAAAAAACCAGGTGAGTTGCGTTTGAATAAGGGCATGATCAGCACAGAATGAGAACCAGGCATGAGTGCTGCGGTACAGCGACAGCCCAGCCCACTGAGTGTAAATGGTCAGTATAATGCATTAGTCTGAGGCTCTCATCTCCATCCCTCTCAGGACCACTAAATATCCATCCCTCTATCCCACTGCCCCTACATTTTCATTGACCGCTCGCCTGTAGTGGGGTTGGGATGGAGCTCAATCCCATCCCAGCGAGTGTGTGGTACAGAATGGTGACCACCCTAAGTGGAACGTCATCTCACCCACACACACACACACACGCACACACACACACACAGACATACGGAGCGACCACTTCACCTGAACTGGGGTCTTTGTGCTATATGGGGAAAACCCAGGTGGAACACGCAAACACACACACACGCATTTTTAATGTGAAGTCTTGCAACTTGCAAATGATGACACGTTGCATGATATAATTCAACAAAGAACACCAACAACATTATAGAGACCCTGACAGAATCTGCATATTAAACAGGCCCCAAAATGTACCATTTCCTGCAAGATCTATATATCTATATCTATTAATATCTATATCAATATGTATGTATGTATATATGTGTATATATATATGTGTGTGTGTATATATGTGTATATATATGTGTGCATGTATATATGTGTATATATATATGTGTGTGTGTATGTATGCTGTTGACCATATTGTTGGTTACAATATTCCATTTACAGGTGTAAATCCCTGGAAAGGAAGGTATACATTTACAGCCCACACACAATTAATACACAAACTATCCGTCATTTTTAGTCATTTATTAGCCACTGAGGATGGTAAGGATCTGTTGATAGGGTCCCTACTGGGAAGGACACTGGCCACCCACATCCTGGAGCCAGTTTAGAGTCCCCATTTCTTTCGGTCTCTGGATGGCGGAAGGAAGTCCGACCAATAGCAGAAGCACAAATGTAAATCCCAGGGCCACGACAAAACCCCAAGCTGCCTTAAACCACGAAACGGTGGCTAATAGGGAGCCAGCGCTGGTGAGCGTTTGGTTACATGGGTTCATGTATCCAGGGGATGCAAAGAACATTCTGGATCTTTAAATAATGCTACTGTTGGCATGTTAGCTAAGAACACGTCACTGTCACTGCACGCTAGAATGGGATATTTGACGTTTTTAATTGTTTCGTTCTACCAGCTGTAGCTTCATGTCAGGCAGCGTTAACAAAAGATGCTTTGACAAAAGATCAGGGGGAAAAGTGCTTGAAAATATGCATGAGAAAAAAAATAATAATAGAAGTGTGATTACAGTGTGGCTAATTGTTACGAGCCTTCACTCGCATGCATCATTTAAATCTATTAGGATTTTCCAACTATTTTTTGCTCTTACTAAATATGAAACTATACCTTTAAATGAGACGGTAATTAAGTGCACCATGTCTAATTAGCAGACACAATGGGAATTGCCATAGCAGCCAGATTTAATTTGTTTGGGTTCATTATCAACAGGATGCTAGTGAGCGGTTTCTAAGGGCCTTTCTCTCCAATTCCCTCATGCCAGCTAAACAAACAGGCGAGGAAAATCCAAATTAATTCCCGGCAAACAGAGGCTCGGGATTAGCAATTCAAATGTAATCTCATCAGTCTTCCGCTGATTGGGCCGTGCAACGGTTCAGGTGTCTCAATTTTCAGGCACCTGAATTTCCAAACAATCGAGACACACGGTGAGATGATATAAAGGCTCCTGTATGTGGTAGAGTTTACTTGAACCACATACGTGCTGGAGTGCCAGGTTTGGTGGCTATGAAATTGTGTGGTTCAATGTTTCAGGATGTCCTTCGTCGATAAGTTGGCGACTCAAATCCCCTGGTTGACAGAGTGATTTCACTGTTGGGTCCCTGAGCAAAGTTCTGTGGCAGGTTTCTAATAAATGTGTTGATTTGAAAAAAAGCATCTGCTAAAATGAAACTGATCTGAACATCTTCTTCAACCTTGCAGGGTTGCATGGTGGCTCCGTGGGCAGCAGTGTGTCTGTCCCAAGCCATGAACTGGCATCCCAACTATTTTTTCATTTCCAGTATGGAGCCTACTGGCGGCCTGCCCAGGGTGTGCCCTGCCTCTTGCCCGATGATGCTGGGATTGGCTCCAGCTTCCCCACGACCCAGATGGATAAAGCGGTATAGATGATGGATGGATGGATGGAGTCTATTCCAGGAAACACAGGGCAGTTGTGGCAGGGAATAAGATGGAGAGGACTGGCAGGCATACATACAAACGCTACACACTATGGGCGATTTAAAGATGCAAATTAGTGTAACTCAACGTTTCTCAACTCATTTTTGTACCCTCCCAGCTTCTTGCAAATTTGACGCAAATAATCAAGAACACAGAACACCTGAACCAAACAATCAAGAACACAGAATACCTAAACCAATGAAGAACACCAAATACTTGAACTAATCAAAAAGACAGAATATGTGAACCAATCAAGATCACAGAATACATGAACCATTCAACAAAACAGAATACCTGAACCAATTAAGAACAGCAAACACCTGAATCAAACCATCAAGAACACTGAATACCTGAAGTTGTGGCCACCTTCATTATTCTGTGGTTCAGACTGAAGTTCTCACCACCTTCAGAAACATATCTGTTTATTTGTGTCAGTAACAAACATTGTTAAATACACTTCCAGACCAAGGTACAGACACAAGCCTCCAAGGTATGCTGTGCAGCACGGGAACCTCACCTGAGACTCAGTCAACAACATGAAGTGAGATGAACCTTCATCTCTCAGGAGGAACACGTTCATCGCACAAGGCTCTTGGGGGCCCAAATTAACCTGCAACAATATCCGCTGGAAGCCAGAGCTGTTACTTATAAGGTGAAAGGTGATTCACTTCACATTCAACTCAGACAGAGTCCTGGACATCAGCTCACTGTGTGATGATGCAGTGTGTTCCAGGTAGAAGGTGTTGAGAAAGAAAGAACTTAAAACAATTAAATCACACGACATCAGATATTGGCGAAAATAGGAAATCAAAATACATGAGTGACAATACTTTAAAAGGGCTCTACAAAGAGGGAGAGTTACATCAGTCAGCAGGCCAGTAGCTATTTCCTGTGTAAAGGTTTGCAGGGAAACCATGGCATATTTTATAACCAAGAGAATATGTGTAAAACTGTGAACATCTGTCAAATATAGATATAACTATGGGGGCACTTGAAATAAAGCCCCTGTGTACTTTTGAGTAATTATCAGTATCGCCAGCTTCTGTATTTAAACCTACTGTATAAATACCCTACATACAAATATATTTCATTTACTCCACACACCATGATCTACATTTTTGCCTGCAGTTAGTGCTTAACTGATGCTCATCTGTCACCTTTGGATTCCCCTACATATTAGTGAAAATGTGGTCAACTGCATATCAACCAATCTTCTACGTATCATATATCATAATTACACTAATTCATGGCATTATCTTAAGCGTAATTATTTTTATCTAAATTATTATCGGTTTCTATAGACACCACTTTGATTGCATGAAGTAATACGGCAGGGAGGAATTGGAGGAGGTGAAAAATAGGGCCTAGGGCCTCTTTTATGTCTGCTGATTAGAACAGTGTGGCACATTAGGTTGTGCTCTATATCACAGGGCTGTTCGAATCCGGATCTCGATCCCAAATCCCAGGTGGTTATTTTAATAATTACTGATTGTGATTGGCCAGAGGCTTCACACCTTGCTCACAGGTAAAGGAAGGCTGGAAAACCAGCAGGGCTCGGACCTTGAGAACAGTGATTTGAATAACCCTGCTGCAGGGACGGATTATGGACCGGGCCAGCGGGGCCGCTGCCCAGGGGACCTTGGGGTGCAGGGGGCTCG